CCACAATCTTTCCACAAATGCTCTTGAAGGTGGTGGGGATCATACCTTCATTAAAAGACTGAGAAAAAAAATGGGAAGTCTGTTTTTATTCTCACAGAGGTTGAAACCAGTACTCTCGCATCTTTTTGGCGTTTTGCTCTAGTGGAAAAATTTCTTTATGGCCACCCAAAACTTGAGATCATTCGAAAAGAATTTGATGCTATGAAGCTGTTGGGCAGTTGGAATATTGGTTTACTTGATGATCGACACATACTGATTCAGTTATCTGACGATGTCGATTACACTCGAATTTTTTCTCAGAAAGTTATCAAGATTGACAACCGTTATATGAAAATTCTGAAGTGGACTGTTGATTTTGATCCTAAAGCGAAATCCCCTATCATTCCAGTTTGAATAAAATTTCCCGGGTTAAAATTGCATCTGTTAAACTTGAAAATTTTCTACTCATTAGCAACAGCTTACAGTAAGCGTCTCAAGGTTGATAGTCATACGCTTGTTGTCACCAGACCCTCTGTAGTTTGTGTATTAGTTGAGATAGATATCACCCAACCAGCTCTGGATGAGGTATGGATTGGAACAACTCACAACGGAAATTGGCAAAAGGTTGAAATAGAACCACACCCTACTTATTGCTCTCATTGCAGTATGTTTGGTCATAGTTCTACTATTTGCTATCGTTTGTATCCCCATCTAAGGTTGGATATCGCTAAAGATTAGTCACCTATCATCCCTGTTGAGAAGATGCAACCCGATCCTCTTTCCAACACCGCAGTTTTTGACGAAAAATATCATACTAAAGCTACAGATCCAGTTGTGCTTATACCACCCACTGTTATTGAAGACGACTCACTTACATGCCAAGACACAGGAGAGTGTTCATTTAATCCGATTAAAGAACAACTGGTACAACATGTAGTTGCTTCTAATGTTCAACAACCTTCACATGTCCAGCACACTTTAGACCAAGATCAGATGAGTCAATCTTCGGAGAAAGAATGACAGGTCTATTTCAGAAGGAAGAGAAGAATGGAGGCCGACTCGAGCTAGAGAACTTATTGGATGATACATTGGTTACTATTTGCAATGACACTCATCTTACCAATTTACTAGCTGACTTCTTCCCTACCTTCTCTAAAACTGGGGGCAGAGGCAAGACCAAATTGGGTCGCTCTCCAGCCACCTGATAACTTTGTTTTTTGGCACTTTTAGGCTTTTTTTTAAGTCTCTCATGTACCTTCTGTATTTTCTAGTTTTAAAACCATGTGTGGTTATTGTGTGGGTAGAGTGTCATGCTTGGGCCCTCCCACACATTGTATCTGCATCTTTCTTTCCATTTAATATATTAGCCTTTGAGTTTTCAATATATATATATATTAGAAAAAAACCCAATGGCTAATATATTAAAGCGAAAAAGATACAAAAAGATTGTATGAGAGGGCCTACAAGAAAGCCTAACTCAGACAATACAGCACACAAATCTCAAATAAAGCAAAGATACATAAAGATAAAAAATCAAAAAGCCACAAAAGGGTGCAAAAGTGCTAGAGACGTCCCACTTTAATCCTCACTCTGCCTCTAGTTCTCGGAAGTGAGTTGGCCAGCAAATTGGTAAGGTGAGTATTATTGTCCGAAGTAACCAAGGTATCATCCATCATATTCTTGAGCTCAAGTAGGTTTTCATTTTTCTTCTTCCTCCTGGATGTGTAGACTTGTCATTCCTCATCCGATAATTGACTTGTCTGATCAATAAATTGTTCTAAAGTTGGTCGGACAGGTGTAGGCTGTTGCACATCATGATCTCCATGAGCCTCAGTAACATTAATAGCTTGTTCGACCTGATGAGGCGGTAGTGAAGTAGTAGAAGTATTGTCACAGTCACAAGTAATATCGGTGATAGGTTATAGGGCAGGTGGGGTCTGAAGAATCTCCTTCTCCCCCATGCTAGTATATTCCAAAGGCGGGGAAGCTACAACATTGTTTAGGGACTGAAAGGTTGTCATATTGCCTGCAAGAATAGTGACATCTTCAGGGGTATCCTTTTGATGATCAATAGTGTCAAAAACTAGAAGCTGATCAGAAGAAGATGAATTCACAGCCTCTGGCGGAGCACTGTGATTTTTTGGACTGAGATGGGTGTGTAGATGTTGGCATTGAGAACTAGAGTGGTTGAACAAATGACTTCGAACAATACGAAAGAAAAAGACTCAATCACTACCTTTTACCAATATTCATGGTGTTGTGGTGTTGTGTGTCCAACCAAATTTCCTCAAAAGCGGATGAAGTGATGTCTCTTTTAACAAGTACTCTGGCTTCAGATGGACAGAAAAGATTAAAAGTAAGAATGTCCGTTTTGAATTGTTTACCATAAGTTGAGGCAATAGAGTACAACACTTAGTAAAACAATGAAATTTCAGACCAGAGAGGCAAATCCAAACCGGAATGATTGGTGGTTTCGTCTGTGGGTCAAAATTCACAGACCATTTCAAAAACTTAATTGTCTGTTATCAATCCAGATCATCCTTCTAGCAAATAATTGTGTGTAATCCATTTAGTTGTATAAGAATGTGTCTTCCATCCAACAATCTAATTTTGCACTCTTTAACAATGTGCATAAGCTCAAATTCCTTACGAATCAACTTTATTTTGGGACGGTCATATAGAAATTTCCCGACTAAATTCAGTCGACAGGAGGAAGCAAGTTGAATACCTTCGGCTTCTGTAAAAAAGATGTCAGGCTTCCCCTTCTTCCTACCAGGTTTCTTGATGTCATCCACCAACTCAAACAAAGGAGGGAAAGAACACGATTTAGGTGTACGTGAGGCGTGGACGCCCGCAAGGGCAGCAGCATACGATCTGTCTGAAGCCATCCTCAATAGATGGAGGCGCGGCGTTAAGAACAGTGAAGAAAGCAAACAGAGAGAAAAAACCGAATCAAAAATGGGGAGCGGGAGAGGAAACCCCTCTGTGAAGCCCCTGTGAATTCAGCTCGAGCCCGAGGGTTGCGAACAAGAAACAATCCTTCCAAAAGGGGATGAAAGACTGTGACAAGGAGAAGCGGAAACAGAAAACGACGAGGGACGACGCCAACGTATCTTGACGAAATAGGAAACGACGAAGAACGAAGCACAAATGTTCGATTTTTGCAGACGAGGCACGAAGAAACACGATTCACCAAGAACGGAGCAGCAGTCGAGAGTAGACATTATTAAAAAATATTATTATAATGTGCAAGGATAGAAAGAATCTCTTGAGATTTGCGTGTAATTAATGCATCATATTATAACTTTATGCCAACATTGCTATAAATATGAGTGATCACTTTAGAAAGAAATGCCTTAGATATTAAAAGGTACATTTCTCGGATTTTTTTCTATGTTTTTTGTGCTACAAATCTACTATTATTCTAACTATTTCCTTGGGTGTGAATCTAACATATAAATATATTAAATTTAACATCTTTGCAAAAATTTTCTCATTTTTCCATATTTTATTCAAATTTTATGCATCATAATTTGTGTGACACCGACTTAAGTACAAAGACCTGGCAATATGCATGACTGTCCAAGATAATTTTCGACCTCCGAACACACTAGTGCAGTACAATTTGCACACGGAGGCCAGTTGAGTGATCTCAAGGACAGTAGAGACAATTTAGGACTAATTTACACTCATCACATCCAGAACCTATTGTTTTTGTCTTGTTTAATTGATCACATCTCCTCATAGTAATTTTGATACGTTGGATGCATCGAGAAAGTTCATTCTATGAACAGATGGTTTTTGGTTGATTTTGACAATGAACAAGGTAGGCAAACCAAATTAGTGCAATGTTGCATTCAACACTTGTCGTTTCCTCCATGTTTGTTCAATTCGTAATTTGAAATAGATATAAGGTCAAAAATGTTTAGGCTCCATCTCATATATTTCTGTTAAGTGGCAAAGGAAAGGGCCATGACAAAGAGTAACTTATAGGATCTTCCATTTCATTATGTCATTTGAGGTGCTTCATAATATTATGTGGGGCATGGCATAAAAACATAAATGCTCAATTTATTTTGTGGATACATTTTGCTATAGAAATAGTGATTTTGGCAGGCAATTCTGCCAGTGAAAACCTACAGTTAAGTTACAACAAGTTGAGATTTTTCGGATTTTCAAAAAAAAAATGTCAAATACAAGGTTTATTTGTTGTATGACTTTACATTACTTTACAACTATCTCATATTTGGTTATGCCTTTAGAAGAGAATTAAAAGCTTTCCATTTGGTTGTACCGAAAGATTAGAGGCATCTCTTGGGTGCAATTTTCATTTAGCTGGCGTTCATTGCTTTTTTCTCATAGTACGCAAACCTATAAGGCCTCTAACTGTAGAGTGATTCTTCTCCCCACCAGGATCTAACCATAAGAATCTTAATGTCTTATTTGTCTTGGATTTTTTTTTTTTTTTTTTTTTTTTTTTTTTTTCTTTTTTAAAAAAAAACAGGGTAACCAAACCAGGTAGAAACTTCAACAACAAAAACCCCCTTTTGTTCCAACAACCTATTCTAATTTTGGCAGTCAAAGGTAACCCAAGCTCTAAATTTTAGATAGGTTCGGATAATCATCTTGCACAGTCAATCCAACAGAACTATCCGATCCAATCAATTTTTAGGTTTATTATCAACAGTAAATCCTAAGAACAGTGGTTGGCTGATAAGACTGTGCGTGGAATCAAAATGCATGGCTTGCAATCCAAGAGACAAAAATGTCTTAATATTTGAAAGTGCGTCAGATATTCATCACTTCTTTAACTTTAAATAAAAATGGGATAATATCCAATGCTGAGTCAACAGCTGGAGTTTAAACATTTTGCGACTATTCATCACTTCTTCAAGTTTATACATGTTTGAAGCACAGATCAATCACATTTTTATATTTAAAGGCAATCAAAAAGATTTTTCATGGAACAGAATTCCAGTAGTGTCTTCAAATTGGGAAGAGATTATTCTAATATCAATTACCTGATATATATCTTCTACTGAAGATGAATTTAAATACGATATAGCTGCCTCAGAGAGTGGCTTCCCAAAGTTCCCTCCAACAAAGGCTTTAATGCCCAAATGTTCAAGCATCTGCATAGACACAGGTTGATAAAGTACGCAAAGTTAATAGAGTAGATATTTTTAAACTAATGCGGTCCAGTCAAAATATATAAAATCATCAAACATGAGCTAGTCTGCAAATTATTTTTTAGGTAGTCCTTTCCTGAATATGAAGTTTTGGAATTGCAATAGGAGGGTGCATAAATTTTCTTGAATTTCAAATCAATTTTGCTCTTAATAATCGCAAAAAGCTATTCAACAATGATCAACCATATCATATAATGCAAGATAATCTTTCTACGTCAACAGAACAAACCCCCGAAATTTCATGGCTTATAGGAATGAACTTATTTAACCACTTCAGACGAACAAATTTCTAAATTAATGATAAAAGTTGAGTAATTTGCACAAATATATGTATAAATTGCTCAACAAGCTAAGTTCTGCATAGAAAAACAAGGCAGCTTAACTTTTTCTTGAGATACAATTTCTTGAAGAGGATACTTTTGTAAAGCAATAAAAAGAAAACATAAATCATGGGAAAAAAAAAAGGGAAAATAGACAATTGGGCCCTGCAATCTCCTACATTAGTAAGGCTACAGCTTCAAACATGAAGGCTGTATCAATGCTTTACCACCTTTACCCTTCTCTCTCTCTCTCTCTCTCGCTCTCTCTCTCTTATATTTTACTGACTAAAGGTGTAAAGAAAAATGTTCCCCAATAAAGTCGTCATAAATCTATTGGCTTCAAAAATTCACATCTAGCTCTTCTATAAGAATTTATAATTTAGATTTTATATAATTATGTCGCCCAAACAATTTGCCCTCATTTTAAGATGGCTTAAGCTCTTGATCAGGTTTTCTAAAGACGCTATACCCTATTGTTCATTGCCCCTTTAAGTGACAAGATAAAATTTTCGATAAATTTTAGCTGTTAAGTGTTAAATATTTAATGTGTAGTAGCAACAATTTCTATTTTGGAATAAATTTATTATCATAGTTTTGAGCGGATAGGTAATTTGAGTAGGTTATTCAACCAATATAAAATGGGCTACCACATATAATTAAGCCAGCTCTAGCACTCTCACTTGAGTAGGTTATTCTACCAAAGAGATTGAGCAAGCCAATATGTCGGTTGATAAAGAGCCATAAATCAAGAGGCATTAAATTAACCAACAACCCCCACAGCTACAAATAAATAGCAATGACCTAACTTGATTATAACAAACTAATCTCTAATTATTTTATTTATGTCATTGTGAACCGAATATGATAGAAGCTAAGCTAATTATACTTTGTTGTTCCAAAAGAGGGATCAAATCAACATCTTATGATAGTGGTGGGTGAGTGAATTTTGAACTATGCCGGCACTCATCTTCTAATAAACTAAAACTTCCCTAATGGGAGATCAATTATCACTCAAGTCAACTCATGTAAACATCAACAACATTTAGTAAATTCTCAATGGAAAATCTCTGGTTATATTCCTCAACAGTTTAATCTCTCTCTTGAAAATTCATCCTGAAGCATTCTCTTAATAGTAGTAAAACCCAGGTGATCCTTTCAGAGCCCATAAATCTTAACTCGGAAGATAGGCAATAAGGAATTCAATGAATACATGCAACATCTTCCTAGGTGGCTAAAAAAGATAGTTAACTTCTTGAAAATGACGCCAAAAAAAAAACAAAAAACAATTACCTGTCCAGCAAAAGATGTAACAGTTGATTTTCCATTTGTCCCTGAAACAGCCAAAACCTTGACATTTGGGGGTAAAATTTCTGCTGCAAAATCCAGCTCAGACATTACATTCTTCCCCTGCATATTTGCAAAAGAATAAAGTTAGCATTATTAACATATTACAAATGCATAAGCAAAATAATATTAGGTATACTTGGTTCGTCAAAAAATATCACAAAGAAAAAGCATTAAAATTCAAATATGCAGAGAATTTTTTTTTTCATTTTTAATTTATTAATATTTTGTAATGCCTCTTGAAGATATATATATATATACCTCACCTTTAATACAAAATAATAACAACAACAACAAGCCTTTATCCAATTGTGGGGTCAGCTACATGAATCATTTTTTCTCCATTGTGTCATATTGACTGCATATTTTTATTTAATTCTAATTAATTAAGATCAATTTTTTATACAACATGCCCAAGTCTTTTTTGATCTACCTCTGCCTTTTTTAACATAAGCCAAATCTGATAAAACATCTACTCCCCAACCCAGATAATCCACATGAGCATTCTCATTTCAGCAACACTTAATTTTATGCTTCTCTAGTACAAAATAAGAACAAAAAAATTCTTGAGAGCCTTCTTTATTCTTTTATTTTCTACAGTACTAATGAGGATATCGAAAGATAGGATGGAGAACAAGGAGAAAAAGGTGCTATAATATAGTGTTGGATTTCTTTTCCTCCCTCAAAATATAGAGAGAAAAAATTGTCATTGGTTATAAAGCAATGTACTGAACAAACAAATGAAGAAAAAAAATTGATGGTTTATTTTTTACAAAAAATTTTGGGAATATCGAGGAATGAGCTACATAACCCAAATAAAAGACACGGTGGTTGAAATTAAAATAAGGGCAGCTGAAAGTGCTATGGCATGAAAAAACACAAGTTGCACTAAAAAGACAGATGGAACATAGACTAGTATGGGAAGAGAAAGAAAGTTTGTGTCTTGGTAGAGGGGTGGTAGCAGGCTGGGGTTGGTGACATAAATGTAACAATCTAAAAGCTCTGAAGTTCCTACTGACGTACAAGACCGTGACTGCATTCATAATTTGAGGCATCATGTGTTGACATAAAAACTATGGATGGCATAATGTGCAAAATTTAAGCCCGGGTTAGTAAGGATTACAGAGTTCATCAAAGCTGAAATAGCATACTCCTCGAGAGAAACTCCAGGAGAAACTACAATCCTATCAGCATTTTCCAATTGTGAAATGTCACAATCACCAAGAACTGTTTGCAAATTTGCATATTCACCCATTTCAGGCGCATTCTGAAAGAACGCAATGCAACCAATGTCAGACATGGCAAAACTCGCAGAGAAATACTTTAGACTTTATAATAGTAGATATAGCATACTTCAAAAGGGATTAATTGTTCATTCCTATCAATGCCAATAACAGAAGCACCTCTAGCAAGTGCCAGCCTTGTTGCAGCTTTTCCTGATATACCTAGGCCAATAACCTGTCAAAATTAAGACTTGTGAGATATCCCAAATAAATTGCATAAAATCAAAAAATGCAATAAATTTCAAGGAAATATTGTGTAAAGCACATAAATACTCCCATAAACATTTAGTACGTGTTAGAAAAGATATTTCCTTCTCGATTGGTCTCTTCATTGGGTGGTATAACCTCTGGCCTTTAAAAATGAGGCCAGAACGTTCAATCAGAATAAAACATAGAATTTTAAACATGTATTGTAATTCAGTAAGTCAACTCACGAGCCAGCTCAAACTCAATTTATTTATGAGCTCGCAACCCCGAGTTCCATCACTAGTTAAAGCTCATATGATATCAAGCTCAAGTTTGAGCTCAACTTGGCTAATCTAAATGACTTGTCAAGCCAACTTGTTAAGAGCATTTTGGCAAAGGAAAAAAAGACATTAAAATTTTACATTACAATTATATGCAAAAAGTTTATACATTGATGCACCTAAGCAATAGCATTAACGAAAAATGGAGTCAAGTTACTAAAAAAAATTAAGCTATCAAGTCGAGCTTGAGCTCATAAAGCTTAATCAAGTCAAACTCAACTCATTTTTGAATTCAAGCCACAACTTAATACGTTGTATGAAACTCAAATCAGCAACACAATTACATCGCTGAGTTGTACATCCATGCAATTGAGAATGAGGAAAGAAATTATAAGGAAAAAAAGGTGATAAATTACTTTTTCTAGCTCTCCCTTTCCGTCAATAACACTAAAACCTAGAGATTTTATTTGGAAGAATCACAAAAGTTCATATAGGGTGTGAATGATATTTGCTTTGAATTATTTATAGATTTTTCTCACCACTGTTACACAAAGAAAGAAATCAACTACAATGGTAAGTATTAATTGAGCCATTCTTCAGCAATTGTTTAGCAATTATTTCTTTTGACAGATACCTAAACCATCTTTCATTTCATTGTTTAGAAGAGTCAAACTATGCATGAGTGTTGCAGATGAAGTTTTGAAAAGCAGTATTAAACATAAATGACCTCTACTGGAACGTTCATAAATGCATAATGTTATGGAATGAAATTTAGTACCTAAATACTCCAAATAAAATGTAAATGTTGATCATGTAATTTGAGAGATTATATATGTTCAAGTTTTCAAAATAAGTGCTTTCTCTAAACTTTCGAAGGCCAAACAATTTATAGAATGCATAATTTTTGTTGCATAACATTGGGATGGAAAGTTCTTTGCATTGCCCTTCCAATGTTATACAATGTGCCCTATGTAGCCTAATCATTTAAATTATAAAGCTTGAAAGTTAAGAAACTTCGGCGGATTCTGCTTGCTCGAGCCAAGTTAGTCAATTAGATCAAACTATGAATGTGGCCGGTCAAACTCTATATTTAATCATTGAACTTTAAACCTTCTATTAACCTTGAACATCTCATTCTTCAGTTTCAATGTCTGGTTCCGTTTTTTTAACCTTGGAGCTAACAATGGAGAAAAAACAACAAGCAGCACAGCTCAAGATAAACACGAGGGATTTGGTTAACGAGAACAGGAAATGCGGTAGGATGGAGAAGCTCACCGCGACCCGCTGCCCTTTGAGGTCTTCTTTGGAGCAACGAATCCCGCGAAGACGGGAAGGTGGAAACGAACTTAGAGCTTGGATTCTTGAAGAGAGAATAAGCGACCCCATCTGGTATTCAAGCAAAGAGAACTTATGCTATCCTTTGCAAGTTCATTCTTCTTATAGCAGAGGGAGTTCTCTGAGCAAGTTATCGTCGCTGCCATGTTTTCTCTCTCTTTCGCGTGAATCATGATGGCGGTGTGTGTAAGGGGATACGGGACAGGAGTCGGGTCACCATTACAGAAGAAGTTCGTGCATAAATGCTCCTCAGTTGAGAGGTTGAGGTGAAATCCGGTCGATTTCAGCCAACGGTTTTGAATTTGAGCTAGAGTTATTCCAGTCAAACTCGCTCGAAACATCTCTTCAATTTTTTCGCTTTCTTTTCCTTCGAACGCAATTTTAGGCTAATTTGAGTTGATTTTATATTATATATATATATATATTTCAAATATAATTTGAGGATCAGTTGAATTCTGATTTTAATAAATTTGATGAGATGAGCCTAGTGCTGTAAAAAATAATCTAATTAGACTCACAATGAGCATAAATTAAATGATTTAAATATAATAAAACTAATGAGAATTTAATTGAAAAATTAATAAAATTAAAATATTACATCTTTATAATCAACTCAAATATTTATAAAAAAATGAATCTAATGAATCCAAAATTATATTATCCTAACCTTATTGAGTCATTCAAATAGATAAAAAATATCATGCAATCAATGAAATCACTTTTATTTGTTCAATGGAGTGTCACATATTATGGTCATATTTATAGATGAGATCGCTTCTCAAATCTATAATTGTATCCACACTTTAATATAAATGAAGTTAGGCGTGGAATAAAAATTGGTTGGAGCTTTGAGGTCACCATGATCCATAACTTCTACCTAATCATCTCAAACAACTGACCATCGTCGTCAATTTGTCACCATCAGGTCGTCAACGCTCGATTGACATTGTCGAATCATCATTGCTTGATCACTGTTATCAAATTAGCTCCCGCATTCTACTATAAATGAATTATCACCAATATAATACCCTGTGAAACTAACATCATCATATTGCAACCATTTGATCATCATTCATAATAATATCACCATCCATGAGTTGGTGCCACATTCAAACCATTATCATCTAACCACAAGTTTAATCACCACAGATACTTGTCGCTTGATTTGTGTTGTCCATCTATAGTTGTCCAATCAACATTGCTCTAATATGATCACACAATTACCGACGCCTAACTTTCTTAACCATCCACACTCACAACACCATCGCCCAATTACAGTTTTTTGATAATCATCATGAAACCCCTATTATTTAATTGTTGCCTCGCTATATTAATGTCAATTACATATGTTTCACTATGTTTTCTTGATCTCCATCACCATTCTACTTATTCAAACTCGTCGCCTGTAAAAACTCACTTGACTTTTATAGTTTTTCAATTTTTTTCACTAATATTCGCTCAATTATGATCGCAAAATCATTGATAATCAATTATTATCATCCAACCTCCATCTCATGTTTGCCCGTCGTACCCGCCCACATGTCCATCCACAATTACAAAAATCTTTGACACTTCTATGTAGTCACAAAACTATTGTCTCCTAATTATCATTGTTTGCTAACTCAGTTGTTTGATATCAATTATACGACCAATGCACATTTTTAACACACATTACTGTTTATAAAATCAGTGCACGCCATTAATGCATGTCATCGCTTATTATACTAATGCAAATTATTCACACCAAGTTTTCATTCTTTTTCTCTTTTTCTTAAGCATTCATTGGCTTTTCTATCGTCGTATAATTTCTTTTCCAAGTAAATCTTTCTTCTGGATCTTATGGATGATCAGGTGAAGAGAAAAATTAGAAATAAGATAGGTTATATGACTAAGGTAGGCAAACAAGAGAAAGAACATTGAGTTCCTAAAGTAAACTTTGTGTAATAGCGTGTAAGTCCAAATGAGATCGAATCGAAAATGGTTTGGAACATATCTGCGAAGAAGATCGTATTAAAGCAACCCACTACCAGAGAGACAAATGTGATTGATTTTTCTGGGGTCAAGAGCAACTTCCAAAGAAATGTATCCATTTGGTTAATTATTTTTTTAAAGAAGTTCAAGAATACTCTAGATTAAAGGAATCCTACCTGCATTCAAGTGACGACAAGTAAAGGGTGTCACAAATGTTGGTTATCTAATAGGAGTAGCCTAACACATTCAAAAGCTGACTCTAAGCCACAGGGTAGAGAGTGAGTCTCTCACATCCCAAATGGGTAGCTACTCATTGACAATCAAGGCCTATGAAACATCTAGGTTGACTTATAGGGTACGCACTATGCTTCCAAGGCTTAACCAAGCTATAAGGGTGGAGGGTGAATCATCGTATCTTAGATAGACAGAGGCATGTCCACAATCGGGGTCTACGAAATGACATCAACAAATCGCAAAAGGTAGTGATATGGCTCAAAGTGGGTAGCAAATGAAAGGTAGAGTGAACCTAATCGATTAAAAATAACCCGGTAGATTACCATGGATCCATCATCCCAAGTTTTTAGGACCATAAATCTATCAGTGTTAGTAAAGGTAATTGATCCAACACAACTGGAGATCCCTTGTCAGAAATTTGTGAATTGTGTGGTCTAGGGGAACCTTGGTAGCCCTAAGGTCAAAAAGGAAATTATAAATCCTATGACCCTATATAGATATAACAAGTAGAGATGGGTCTTATACCTGTCAAAGGGGTAAGGAGCCACTGAAGTGGAAAGAAAAGGGAGGTATAGCTACAAAGTTGGAGACACTCCCACAAAGGATTTATTCGTCATTCTGATCGGGCAAGCCTCTAACATGTTAAGCGCACGAGAGGACCACCTAAGCAGAAATCTATGTTGGGTCAGTTGGGTTGGAGAAGCATGGATGCTTCTCCTCAGGACATGCAAATGATATTGTTATATAATCTCAAGCATGAAGGCCATATTAATATGACTTGAGAGAGAATCATGCTATGCAAACTATTTAAAATCCGACATGAATGTCATGTAGGAAAATAAATACATATTTTAAAAAATCCTGAGTGTTTTAATCATAAATTTTAATTAGTCTTAACCTTTTATCAGGATTTTTGTAAAAAACTTACAATATTAGGTCCTTAAAAATCCTAAGTGATATTCACACCGTTTCTATACAAACCATAAGCAAAAAAGGAGAAACCAAGTGAAGCACATTGCAAGAAAGTAAAACAAGCTCAATCAAAAGAATAATAAAAGGTCAGGTGTTGCTTGACCGGTAACATATCATAGAAACAAAAAAGGTGGTCAACAACCACATATGTACACGCATTGTCCTAACTTTTTATATGAATGACATTTAGAATTAAGGAGCGAGACATAAACAAGCAGCTCTTAGTCCTTTTCACATTGTTTGAACTGTCTGACGCCTCAGAACCCGTGCACATACCTTATTTTTAACATAGACTCTTCGAACGACTAAAAAAAGTACATAATAAAAGTAAATAAAAAAACTCAACCTATATGAAAATCAGTCAACGCACCGAATTGTGCCCGATGGGAGGAGAGTTAAGTAGATCATACAGAAACTTTGATGAGATAAATCATTATAGCTCATCCATGTTGGGCATGGCTCTCTGCAAGAAAACTACCCATAACATCCTAATATGCATATCTTGCACTCAGCAAACACATAAAAATCACAAGAATGTGATGTTTATCTTTGACAACCAAACCAGTAGAGGACTATAAACAAGACATCAAAAATAATGCATAGCACCCTACTCTTAGGCTAGCCCACCATTTAACGTATAGTATCCTAGTCACAGCATATAAGTGTGTGCAGTGTTGGTGTAGGCAAAAGGTTGGTGTATGTTTTGATGGGGTCATCATCACCAGCCTCATTCAAAGGATCCAAGGATTCTAATAAGTACCACTAGATGCAAGTTTTATAAGAAAAAAACAAAGTTAAAAACATGATGCATGCAATATATATATATATATATACTTGTCAGAATATATATATATATATATTATACTTTTAAAATAGGTCATAGGAAATGAATAGCCATGCACATGTTAGACCCACAACATACGCATGTCAGTCACGGTGTGATAGCTAGTATTGCCCACGGAGACATCCTCGTCGGCAATACTAAATGTCGCATTGTGACCGACAGAGGGTCACTCAGCTAATGAGCTAGTTTCATCATCAAGATGATTGGGAATGCACATGCAAATACAAGGTGATCCAATGTATTATGACCACTTCATCAGAGTAGGAGTGATCACGAGATAACAAGCATTCATCATAAGCATATAGTAGCATATACCCATGACGAACACACCGACAATACACAAAGATGTATTGTGCCTTCGGTGGATGCGAAAGTAACAAGGCATGACTCGAAAGATGGGCTCAGAGGTCGAGGAGGCATGACCCAAAAGATGGGATCAGAGATTGAGGAGGCATGGCTCGAAAGATGGGTTCAAAGGCTGAGGATGCATGACCCGAAAGATGGGTCTATAGGTCAATGAGGCATGACCCGAAAAATGGGTCTAGAGGCAAACCACCTACAATGAACCAAGGTGGTGGCGTAGTTGAATAGATGACATAATTCTTCTTGGAGAGAAATATGCATTGGGTAGGCTTGATGTGCAATATGTCCCCGAAGAAGACACATAAGTGTCGAAGGTGAGTGTGCAAGAGCGGCAAATAAAGTGCAAAACACATGCATATGAAATGCAAACACACAATATGCTATGAAATCAAACATGCGAAGGTGCATAATGACATAGAGATGCCATAAGATAGGCATAAAAAGTTGTGCCAAAGAGGGCATAAACACCCACCACAAGCATGAGAGGGCATATGCTCACCAATGCACAATGGGATGCAAATGCAAATGTGTCAATGTGAAATAAGAAAGCAAAAAATGCAACATTTATGTGGAGTTGATTGATATGATATGGCCTGGAGCAGGCAATCAGTTGAACTGACGACACGAGTTGATCGAACAAGCGTGAACGACCAATTGATGAAGGAAGTTTAGCCAAGACGGGGCAGTCAATCGAGCAGGCACAATCGAACTAGTTGGGGTGGTCGGTCAACAAAGAAGGTTCTATCAGCCGATCAGACTGGTGACGGTTAATAGGATAAACCGACAGAAATGGGACATCAGACTGGCGTGGGTGGTTGATTGATGAAGGATAGTCGATCAAGTCAAGGTGGTTGATCGATGAAGGACAATCAACTAGGTCAGGCGGTCCATCAACGAAGCAAGGTCATTCGACTTGATCGGGTAAATGCAGCCGATCGGATGAACCGTTGGAAGTGGTCGATCAGACCGGTG